TCCCCCGTGAAGCCTGAGAGAGGGGTTTTGAGGGGTTCAAGTTGTGTTCGACACAACCTGAGTTTTTGGAAGGTCTCCAGGTATAAGATGTTGACACTGCTGCCGGTGTCAACAAGTACCCGGGCGACATCTACCCCATTAATGTCCATGGTGATGACCAATGGATCATTGTGATCTTCACCGGTAGGAGGGAGATCCCGGTCAGTAAAGACGATTGGCTCCCTCTTAGTATGTTTACGCCTGGGCGGTTCAGCACTTACTTCTCCCACGTAAATGCTCCGGACCCAGTTCTTCCGCTGCGCGGCTGAATCTCCACCCTCGGGTCCGCCGAAGATCATGCCGATGTGTTCTTTTTCGGGGGCAGGTTGCCGCTCTCTTGGCCGGTTATTCCTCCGCCGGTCATTGTCCCGGTCATTCCCTGGGGCGGTTGGCCTAACCCACTGATGACTCTTCTCCTGGGCTTTCTGCAAGTAATCTTTGCCCAGCTCTCCACTGTCGATCATCTGCCGGATGACCCCTTTAACACTCTTGCATTCGGAGGTGTTATGGGAATCAGACCTGTGGTACGAACAATAGGTGCCCGACCACTGCCACCCTACTTGACCGGTAGGGTTTTCTGGAGGAATGACCGGTGCTTTCCAGACCTCCTGGCATTCTTCTGTATTGACCACTCGGATGACCGGGTCATAGTGGTACCTCAGCCGGCTAGGTCCCGGTGCTTCTTCCTTCTTGACTTGCACCGGCTTGGACTTGTGACCATGCTCAGCTTCTCTCTTTGCCCGGAGCTGGGTTTCAGCTTCAGCAAACTCCCATGCAGTATGGTAGGCCTCTTGGTACGTGGCTGGGGGTTTCCGGCAGAACTCCTTGTATAGTTCCCCAGCACGCAAGCCATTCAAGAGGAGGGAGAGGACGGTCTTGTCGTCCATCTCTTCCACCTTGTCTACCTCTTCCTTCCACTGGGTAAGGAACTGAGTGAGGTTCTCAGACTCCCTCTGCCTGGATGTACTAAGATAGGTGAACTTCTTCCTCTTAGTACAATTCTCCTGGAACTTGGCCTTGAATTTTGAGGCCAAATCACTGAACGAGTCAATGCTTCCCGGGCGAAGCTTATTGAACCATTCAGTGGCTCGGTTCCGCAAGGTCTGGAAGAAAAGTAGGCACTTTTCTCCATCGGTGCAACCGTTCATGGTCGCACTCTGGTTGAAGGAGTCCAGGTGGATCTCCGGATCTTCCTTCCCGGTGAATCTGGGGGTGTCGATCTTGACCTTTTGCGGGAAAGGTGTCAGATGGACCCTTGTGGTGAACGGGGACCCTGCCAGGGGTTTGTCCCGGTCATTCTTCTCCCCGACCTTCTTTTCCAGCCTTTCCAGCTTTGCCTCCATCTGCTGGACGCGGTCGTTTGGGATGGTTAACCGGTTCGCCACCGGTAACCTGGGCTGGCTTTCTGCCTCCCCTTCCTGGTGGGAGGCCCTCGTCCTCGCTGGCTCCTGCCG